CATTACCGTGTGACAGCCGTTACCTCGGTGGTGACAGGGTGGCCGGTAGGTAGAGTGGCTGTGTTCATAGCAGAATAATTTAGGAGAAAATCTCATTGTCAGTTTCCTTCAGGTCGAGGAAGGATGCAGTGAAGAGAGAATGTGTATGGCTCACTTCGTATTTTATTTTTAATAGAAATATAAATCATCAGATAGGTGTGAGGTATATAAGTATATGTAATACAGACTTAGGAGAGAACAGCTTGTCTGCTGTAGTTCAGACATTCTGCAGACGGTGACACCTGCTGGAAGCTGCCTGCATGTTCATGCCTCCCTGCGGGCGCCCTCTCATCCCACCTCCGGGAACCCGGACTGCTCAGTCCCTGCCATCACCTTGCAGCCAGAGATGGGGCCGTGTCAGCCCCCCTTTCATCAGAACAGCCGTGCCGTTCACTGCCCCCGTATCTCCATAGATTCCGTCCTGGGTAGTCCCCCCCATGCACCCCTCTAATCCAGTCTCCTTTACCTCTGCCTTCTCAATCTTGCTCTTTTTCCCTAATTAAACCATCTTCCCTCCAACCTCTTTTCCTGTCATTTATGAGCTAAACAGAGGATTTTGATGACGGCCTGCAGTCATGTATGTGCTCTGAGGAGGAGGAAACGTTGGCTTTGTTCATTGGTCACAGTGAGGCGCTAGTATAAACCTGTGGGCTCATCTTGAAGAGGGGACAAATGTCGGGGGGGAGTATTTATTTCCCATTTTCTACAGTTTTGATGGTTTGACTGTATTTTACATTGCCTATCTATGACTTCCGTAATCTTTTTTGTTTTATTTTTTAAATGATCGTGTGGAGGTAGGGTCAATCAGAATGGTTGTTTTTCAATTACAGATATACAAAATTGCAGTTATTTTACAGAATAAAATAAGCACTCTGGGCCAGCCCGAACATCTGACCACTGTAAGGTCACCATCCATTTCAAGTCCCATATAAAGTAACCAGCTTATAATTACCATTCGGATTACAACCTGTTAGTAAAGAGCCACTTTGATTAAAATCAGCCGACTTTCACGCTTCAGCATGGAGGCCACATGGGACGTCTAGTTTCCAAACAGGAAGTAAGATGCTATGGAATTTCCTAGTGCTCAGCTCTGCGGGCGAATGATCATCTCGCCGTAGGTAGTGTGATGCGGACAGAGCTGATCAGCACAACACACGGCCCCGTGTGATGAGCAGAAGCTACTTGACCGTAGAAGGCAAGCATTACATATATGCTCTACATGTAACACGCAGTAAACATTTATTGTATTTTATATGTTGTACTGTATGTCTTGCATATAGTACAGAAAACATTGTTACACTTGTATTTCCCAAATTTGCCCTGCCAGTGGAACTTGCATCCTCTCCATCCCTCACCCTCATGCTATTAACAGGTAATTAGATGACAATAGTAACCACTTTCCTGCAGTCTTCAGCAAAGGGGCTCATCCGCTTATCTGGATGCACAGAGCTTGCCCCTCACACTGCACAGTGACACCTCCTGAGTCAGGATACAACTGAGGCTGTGCAGGGAGGGTTCTGCCCCAGCTCTGCAGGGCCATTAGCATGGACAGGATGGGAATTTCTTCTTTCCACTAATGAACCAAGCAGGGGGAGGTTTGCAGCCACAGGATACACACACACGGTCACACACACACACTCAGTCACACACACACTCATACACTTACAGTCTCACACACAGTCACACACAGCCACACACAGCCACACACAGCCACACCATCACACACTCAGTCACACACAATCGTACAGATACACAGTCTCACACACACACACACACACACACACACACACACACACACTCTCTCTCTCACTGTCACACACACTGACACACACTCATTCACACACACATACACCCTGACAGTCACACACTCACATACACACACACTGACACAGTCCCTGGCAGGGTGGGGAAGGGCTGGTGGTCCAAGGTCATGTGAGCCTCCCAGCCTCAGTTTCCCCCATGGACAGCAGTTTTGTTTTATGAGCAAAACTTCATTGCTCCCACATGGATAGATGAGTAGTTGTTCTCACATCTTGTTAAAAGGTCTTAGACCTTACTTTTAAGGAAAGTAAAGGACCTCTGTTCAGGTTTGCAGTTTCCAGCCTATACTCTGACATTAAAAAAAAACAGTAAGATAACAGAGGAAATGTTTACCTCCATCTCATAGGCATGAGCTGTATTTTTCAAAACATTCTGTTTTGAAGCACAATGGGCTTTGCAGTTGTTTATAAATTTAAGGTACTCATCAGTGTGAAATAGTTGTTTATTTCCGTTCCCTATTTCCTCTTATTGGGGGGTGAAAACATTTGGCCTCCTAGCAGGACATGATCTGTTTTGCTCAGTTATTTGTCAGTTTTTATAGAGTGTGTTTGCTATCTGGGCAGAGGTTTGGACCAGGGGTAGGCTTAGAGGGGGATGTGACGTCCTGTGCTTTTGTAGGTCATGGAGTGTTTGGTGCCCCAGCTCTCAGGAGTCTCTTATCCTGTGTCACCGGGAGCAGAATGTCAGCCTCCTGCATTGTCCATTCATACTTCAGGCTCATTCACAAGTCTGACACTTCCCCTGCCTGGCAGGTTAGGGGGGCATAGTGGCATCCTTTGAGGAGGTGCAAGCTCCTGAGGCGACCCTAACCACCCCCGAGATGAAATGCTGTTCATCCGCCCTGGAATCTACCAGAAACTTGGTCTCGCTCTACCTCTTCACAAGTTTTCTTAAAAGCTTCAAGGTCTGTGTGTGTGTATGTGTGTGTGTGTGTATGTCAGTCTCTCTCCTCTCAGTATTCGTCAGGGAAAGAAAATTTGGAAACAAAAAATATATAAGCAGGCCTAAAGGAAAGGAACTATGGGAAACAGTGAAAACACAGGCTGTGCTTTTTCTCTCTGATAGTCTGTCAGGAGGTGATAGTATGGTGGTGCTCCTGTAATCATGAGGCTGATCTGCCCCCCATTATCTTTGTTTTCTCCCTATGAGAAGAGCAATGCTTGTTATCACAGGTGACACAACACAGACGAAAAAACAAGCAGGGAGGTCCATGGAATCACTTTAAGGGAGATCATATTTGCTCTTTGCTTTCATTTCCAAACCAGAAACCCATAGGCCCAGTGACAGCAGAGACCGACTTTCTTAGGTGCACGTCACCCAGGTGGGCCCGGGAAACAGGTGCTGAGCCGAGGAAAAGATAAACATTGTCAGGCTTGGTGATATTTAGCCAGGTAGCTAAGGCAGGAATACCACCGTGCCCCCGTTCAAATATTTACGAACTGAACCTGGGAAGGAAAAATCTTTGGTCACATAATGTGGGATCCCCCTCCTCCTTCCTTAAACAGCATCTCAAGGGTCCCGATAGTGGGGCTGTTTCCTGGGGAGGAAACACGCACAACGCCTGGAGAGTCAGGCAGACCTGAGGTCGGCTTCGCTAGGCAAGTGCAGTTTAGGGGCCTTGCACTTGGCAAAACATTCTTCTACGTTTTTGACTGTTTATCTGACAAGCTGACCGACCGGCCCGGGCAGACTGGAATATTTCCTAGAATGGACGGTATTCTGTTCCCTCCCCAGGGCTGGTGGTACTGCCAGTTCGAGGTGCAGGGAGGCTACTGACACAGGAGCAGGTCAGGTGAAAAGACGTGGGGAGCTCAGGGGAGCAGAGGTTTAGGGTACAGGTTTGTCTCCCAAGTACTCGAGCCTGTGTTGCTGTGTAGTCTTTAAGTCTGATGTTATTTGCACCTCTGTGCGTTTTAGAAGATTTAAGAAGAGCAGACCCCAGAGACCTTCTCTGGAAAAGAGGGAAACTTACTGGAAAATTACCATCAGCCAGAGGGTAGTGCTCAGGGAGTTATGGGACAGGGCGGGCCTTTCTGCCTCCTTTTTGTGTTTTCTGTCCTTTGATCCCCCTGAATGCCAGGCAGAGAGGACTCATTCATTCGGGCTCAGGGCTCAGGGCTCCGCTAATAGCTAATAACTTGGTCCTTTCCTCTCCCCTCTCCAAGGCAGGGAGTTAATGAGAAACGCAGATTAGCAGGCGAGATCTGCCCTGAGATTAAGATAAGGTATCCTAACCGAGAGTTCATGTGAAACAGGGACTGATGGTAATTGCACTCCTCTGGGGCAAAGTTGTGAATGAGCCGACGGGCTTGTTAGTTCCTGCCTGGCTTTGAATGGTCACATCCCCTGCCCTGTGAGTCTCCCTGGAGTCCTTATAATACCAATGATCAGCCCACTATTGTCAGGATCTGTTCACACCTCCTCTAGAATACACGGTCCATGTGAAGGAAGATGCCCGGGAAGGGGGGTTGTGTAAACAGCTCCCTGCATGCGAGCACAACCCCGGTCCCCCTTTCACAGCGTAAGTGCAGCGCAGCGAGTCTGGCCCTGTGGCGTCCCATGTGGGTCCCCCTCAGAGCCAACGCCGGCACTGGAGGGGCTGTGGTGCTCAGTCACCCCCCACCCCTGGACACAGAGAGAGCTCAGCCCCTCGCAGAGGACAGCCCCTGGGGTAAAGCCCTGGACGCTGAGAAACATGAGTCTGCTTTAATTAATTTCCTCTCATTTACCGAGAGTCACAGTCTATTTTAGTAAATAAATTCAGGAAATTGGTAAAGCACTTTCCTCCATCCGTTTTGTACCAGCAATTAGCATGATTGTCACGTTTTTCCTGGCTCCGCGGGCTGCTGCTCCCTGGCGTCCCCCTCTTGCCTGCCGGTTTATAGCCCCTGGCAGCCGCTGTTCCTGCACCCAAACGGCTTAAACAGAAGAGCCTGCAGGGTCTCCGCTTCATTCGCCGATCCCTCACCGCGGAGCTCTTTCTCTGAGCCCGGCGTTCTTTTCAAACAGCCCTTTCCCCTTCTCAGAGACCGCTTTGCCCTCTGGCGCGGGACCCAGAACCGCATTCATCCCGAGAAGCTTCTCCCCTGCTCACCCCATCCCCCTCCGGGGCTGTGAGCCCAGCCGGGCTGGTCCCCTACCTTCATCAGCCACTGCGTGTTGTTTTCCATGATGTTCTCCAGCACCTGCAGCCGCTGCGCGGAGTCGTCGTAGTCGAGGGGCGCGTCCCTCTGCACGGAGTTGGGCACGTAGGAGCCGGCGGGCGGGCGGCAGTTGTCCGCCTCGGGCAGCAGGAACGTGTAGCTGCAGGCGCCCTGCTGGACCTGGTACTGCCGCCGGCCCCCGCTGTCCATGCTCCTCCGAAAGCTGTTGTAGGCGGCGGCCGGGAGCAGGTCCCAGCTCAGAGTTAGGAGGACAATCGGCCACATTGTTCCTGCCTGGGGAAGACGGCTCAGCGAGCCGCAGGGCGCATGGGACACGGTCGTGGGCTGCCCTCTGCGACCAGGGCTCAGCCGCTCGGCTTAGGGTCCATCCGCCGAGCCGCGTCCCCGCTCTCCCAGCAGCAGGAGCGGAGCCAGTCCCGGGCTGCCTGTCTGTCTGTCCTGGGGAGCTGTCCCTGCAGCCGGGAGTGCACCCTGCTCCCCGGGGAGGGCTGTGCTCGCCCACAGAGGGGAGTTGCTGCCTCTTTGTCTCTGCCCCAGAGCCTGCAGTGTCGGGATCAGGATCCGAATCGGCCACTCTCCGCTCTTTATATGATAAGTTGATAAGAGCAGCCAGACATGTGTGGCGAGCGGCTCCGCCCTCCCGCTCGTCCGTTATCTTCCTGTGGGGGGGGTCAGCAGCCAGGCAGCAGGAAAAACCCCAGCCCCCCGTGCGTGCCTCCCGGCCAGGCTGCGCAGCAGAGCCCTGTGGGAACGGGGCTCACAGGGCCCCTGGGCACTGCAGGGCACCCCCCCGGCGGAGCATTTCCTAGGGAGCCTGGGTCTCCGTCTGACGGATTCCTCAGCGCAGCTGGGGGAGTAGCTGAGGCAGTCACTTGAAAGCACAATGCAGGTTCCTGTTTTTCCTTTAGGGATAGAAATACTGCAGGCACGTCAGGACTCCGGTTTATTGTTGTTACAAACAGAGAGGAAGGAGCCCTGCTCCTGTAAACTCTGCCTTGGCGACGCAGGACAGTCCCAGGGTGTTGCTCAATTCTGATCNAGAGGAAGGAGCCCTGCTCCTGTAAACTCTGCCTCGGCAACGCAGGACAGTCCCAGGGTGTTGCTCAATTCTGATCTGAGCTCAGAGGACAGAATTCTCACTTCAGACGCCTGACAGGGAGACGGTGCTTCATTCAGTCGCAGGGAGGTCAGCCTCCGAGCCCTGACATCCAGTCTTCTCCCCTTTGAATTAAGCGCTGATGGCCTCACCTGTGAAAGCGAGGCGTTGGGTCCCCTGCCACTGCTTCTCTCTCAGCCCCGGGACTGTGCGTCCTCAGTTACTCCCTGAGCAAAGCCTGGCTGTCGGAGGCTAGAGCCTGCTTACTCCCCAGGCAGAGAGCACACACAGAGGAGCCGGTGCCAACCCACCTGCACAGGTGTGCTGGTCACCCTCACTGGTAGCACCTGCTGGTGCCCCGAGGGACCACACCTGCCGGGAAAGCCTGTGTCAGTCTGTGTCATGCAAGATCAGCTTCCAGGTGTACATGACAAAGGGCCAGGGCTAAGGAGGCCAGCCTGGCAGCCACATAGGGTGGTCTGAGCATAGAAATTCCTCACGAAAGGCAGGTCGTGGTGGCAGCACCGTCCAGAGGTCTGTCTTGACTGTAAATGAGCCCGTCTGCTGTCCCCTTGCATCTAAGATAACATACCTTTAAATGTCAGAGTGACCTTTCCAAACTCCTCAGGGCTCACCTCCCAGGGCAGAAGACCACAGGTCTCATTGTTACCTTGGTCCCTGCATACCATCTCCATGTGCTGGAAATGTAAATTATTAACCATCCCGTACCCACCAGTGCAGAAGTGTGTGTCTGTCCGTTTTACTTCTTACTCCATCCCAGAGACCCGGCTTTGCTTTCTGCCGCCTCCCTGACCTACCACCAGTGGCTTTCATGTAACGTCTACGCCTGCTCCTTGGATTCTAATGGACAAAATAAGGTGTGGAACCGGCCTTCTCTGGAGCATTTCCTCAGTCCTTTGCGATTATGCTTCCCAGAAATTGTCAGTTTCGCTCAAATAAACTCATCAAAATTCTGCACAGGTTAGGACTTCTTAGGCCGACACTGGGGAGTGCAGGATTATGATGTTAACTCCCGGGTGGGTGTGGGATCTGCAGAGCGAGTTCACTTCTGGAGTGTTTCCAGGAGTCTTCGTCACACCGGTAGCACGTCCCTCCTGCTCACGGCTGGCTCCTGGGTGGGTAACCCCTGGAGCAGGGCTGAGACCCCGACGTCCTCCCTGTGTTGGACAGAGTCCGCATTTCCCACCAGGCTCTACCTGAAATACCACCTTTCCTTGAACTGCGGATGGTCACAGCAGCGGCCAGTGTCCAGGCTTCCTCACTAGAAACAGTAGCTCCTTTCTCAGGACATGTCGGGCGGCAGCGCCACCGTCAGACTCGCCCCCTAACCGTGGTGCTCCGTGTCCGAGCGGAGTGCACCCGCCGCTGTCCAGGGGCTGTGCCTTCAGCAGACATGGGAGCCCCGGAGGTCAGGGAGCAGGACAGGTGCTGGGCGGTACGTGGATGCCACGAAGGCACGGGTTTAGGGGAACGTGCCCTAGAATTCTGGCTGCAGAGGGCAGCGCACGCGTTTGAAGACTTGTCAGAACCTGGTCCAGCGAGAGTGGAAGCAAAGGCTTGACCTCTCCGTGCCTCAGTTTCCCCACTTGTAAGACGATTCTTCCTCTGTGGCGCCTTTCGGATGGAAATGACACAACATAGTAAATGTGACCTAGGAATATTAGTTTCCTCTTTACTGGCATTTCTGGTGAATGGAACTTGGTTCTTTCACCATCAAACATCATAACCACTTGTTCTCTGGACGTGAGATGGAAACTTAGGGGCAGATTTTTCCTTCTGAGTTTTTTCCCATTTGAAGAAGCCTGTTGTGAGGTGTCGCTGTTGCAATTGGGGTTTAGAAATCATTTTTCTGCCATCCAGGAAACAGTGCCTCCGAGAGAGGGGATATCCCGCGGGTCCCTCTCGTCCACCAGCCTGTAACGGTCACTGTGGAGGGCCTGGGGTGAAGATGAATAGACCTGAAGAAGCAACAGGAGGGAGGGGTGGGACTGAGGAGGGGTGAGCACAGCGGGAGTGCAGTGTGGTCTCAGGGCCGCAGTCCTGCAGGCGGTTGGCAGGGACGCTGTCGTCTCTGCCCCTCGAGGTTAGACGGACAGGAGCGGCCCTTCCTGGGTTCCTACAGGGAATTTTTAGCGGAGAGATGGGGAAGCTCCCGTTAGGGCCCCACACTTCTTCTGTGAAAGGTCAGATGGAAATGTCTCATGCTTTGCTGACCACGTGGACACTGAAATTGGAAGTTCTTCTAATTTTCATGTCCTGAAATATTCTTTTCTGGCTTTTTTTTCTGGCCATTTAACAATGTAAAAACCATTCTTAGGTCACTGGCCATTCATAACAGAGCAGGGCTGTAGTCTGAGCTGGAACCTTGGAGCCTGTGGGCGTGGTGTGGATGGGAGGCCACTGGGTGCACAGCCTGTGTGAATGGCCCTCCCCCTGCTCTGGTCACGAAGGTCAGCATCATGAAGAATTCTGCCTCAGTTTACCCTGATGAACAAGAGCCCTCCCCCCATGCATGGGAAAAGCCAAAGTTCCCTTACTTGCATCAGCTCACCGCTGCCTGAGGCCCAGGCGCGGAGCCCTGGTCAGCTCGAGTGGCCAGCATGGCCTTGGTTTTGGGAGGGTGCTGAGTGTTCAGACACCATGAGAAGCAAAACTGAGGCTCCCCTTCAGCGTCTGGCCCTTGGCCAGTAGCCACTGGGGGCTTCGGGATGCCTTGTCTTCCTCTCTTCCCACCTGGCCTTTCCAGAGTCGGCTGAATGAGACCAGTCAGCGTGTTTACTTACAAACTAATGCTCAGAGTACAGGGGAGCTGTTAGAAAGTTCACTGGGCATAAAATGGTTGGAGAAAAAGCTACTTTTACTACTTTGTGTGTGTGATAACCAAGGAGAGCTAAAGGAGCCACAACTGGCAACAATGTCCAGCTTTCCGCGGGCAGCCCCCCACACCTTCAGGAGGCGTCTCCACGCCTCTGGACAGGCTGAGCTGGACCTGGAGACCACAGGGGGAGTCGGGCCGTCCTGCAAACCCTGGTGCCGCCTCTCTCCAGGGCTGCCCATCGGGGGGAGCTAGTGTTAAGCCTGAGTCTGGCGGCTGCGAGAGACTATGCCCAGCTATGGGATTTGAAAAAAGTGCCAAAGGAAAAGCTACAGTAACGATACAGTAAAGACAGAAGAAGAAAAAAAGGTATAAATATAAACACAACACACACACTCTCGCACACGCGCACATACATACACTCACGCACCCTTGGAAGGTAAATCCTGCCCGTAGTGGGTGTGGAATTGGCTCAGTGGGGAGATGACCAGAATTCCCTTGGCCAGGTGCACCTCTGGGCCTGACTTTGACATCATGCTGATGAATTTATAGCAGTAGGTTTCACCCCGATTTTAACCTGGTAACTCAACTTCTGTGGAGATGGTGGAGATTCGCAATGTCATGCTGGCCATCTCCTCTGTGCGGTGCAAACACACGTCCCCGGAGACAGAATCCTGTGGCCATGGATCACCACGAGCCGGAGCCGCTGGTTTGCCAGGGGCCACCGCATGTCTGCTTCAGCTCCCGGACCCGTGGCCTCTGAGTGGGCAGAGACCTCAGCCATATACACTCGGGTGCAGACGTCATAGTGGGTCCTGCTCACCAGCTGCGGAGAGTCTCAGAGATCAGCCGGTGTCGGGGCCTCAGTTGGGCTGTGTACACATCCGGCTGCATTTTCAGATTCTTTCCTCCTTTCTTTGCCTCTTTAGTGTCACTCAGTGGAGATGTTGAGAAGACTGATGATGTACCTTTTAGAATTTTAACGGTTTCGGAAATGAAGTATGCTGCCTAGTGTAGCACAGTTTCCTGTCCCAGTTGCAATTGATTATATATAGCATCTGACATAAAGTATACTTGGAGCCTGGCCAGCCGGTGTGGCTCAGTGGTTAAGTGTCGTCCCCGGCACCAGGAGGTCCCTGTTGGGTTCCCTGGCAGGGCACATGCCTGAGTTTTGGCCTCCATCCCTAGCAGGGGTGTGCAGGAGGCAGCCAGTCTATGTTCCTCTCTCATCAATGTTTCTCTCCCTTTCCCTCTCTCTAGAAAATCAATAAAAGCATATAATGTACATATATATGTGTGTGTGTGCGCGCGTACGTATATATATATGGAGAACAGACTAAATGTCCACTTGGAGTGGGGCATCAGCTCCCTGGCACCCACCTTTGTGGAAGGTGAGGAAATGTATACTTTGTTGGAATAAGGACCTGCCTGCCAGTGGGAGAGAAAACCCTTTGCCAGATGTGTTTTCAGGCAATTTCCTTTCCTGGGAAACAGCCATTTCCCCTGCGCTTCCCAGTGTATTTTCCTTGCCGAGCAGATGGGTGAGTGCAGGCCCGAGGGGCAGGCCCCAGGCGCATGGCCTTATCTGGGACAGTCATCTTCCTCCCCGCAGCTGTGTAACTTATGATGGGCACCTGGCTGTGTGTCAGAGGGTTGGTATTGATGGAAGACTCAGAGT